AGCAGAAAGAGAAGAGGGAAGTGAAGGAGAAGGAAGAGGAGGATGGAGAGGAGACAAGAAAAAGAAAACTTAAGAACAGAAGGAAAATAAAAACCTCTCACAGTCTTTGAAGATTGGCTCTGTATTTGGACCCTCCTTCAATCTAGTCCAGCTAATTATAACTCTGCTTTAGCCTTCATTTCCTGCTTTCATTGAGCCTAAATATCAGCAAGAGATTAAAGCACTGGGTCTTCACAGATGTTTTCCGAGCATGCATCATGCCCTGAACGTATGCATGGATATCTCAATCCCTTGTTACACACAGCATCTTGTGCAAGTCCTTGCTTTTAAAAGTACTCTGTTCCAAACTTTTCCTCCCATGCTTTCATCATATCTAGTTTTTTTTCCAAACTGCAATCTTTTGCCCCAGGTGGCAGGGGCTTGTTTCTTTTTTTAAAGAAACACCCTGCACTTAGCCACGTTTCTGTTCTGAGAGTCTGAATTAAGTGAAACAAAAGATAGCACTGTGAGTCAGCCCTTCAGAAAACTCGCAGATAGATAGGTCAACACAGACAAACACAATTCCTTGGGAATTAGATCCACTATTCTCCCTCCAGAATCAGACACCCGGACTGAGAACATAATTTACTGTTTTTGATACCACTGCCGTACTGGGAGAGGGAGCTGGTGCAAAGCTAAGTTAACATACCACAAAGCTTTCCTACTCCTATCATGCAGAGTCATCTTTTCCTTGATTTAACTTTTGCTTGGTGGCTCTAAATTTTTGGCTATCTTCCAGAGTTCTGACAAAGTTGATTCTGACAGTACTCAGTAATATTAGCACCGAAAGCATTTCAAATTATGAAAACTGGGAAGTTCAGTATTCAAAATATGGTCTCTCAAAATAGTCAATGTCAAAAAGCCTAACACCAGCAGATTTTGTCCAAACATAAGAGAAACTGTTACTTCAGACTTTAGGCGACATTTCAACTGTTGTCCTCAAAGATCTTGGAATCTCAGTATAACTAATCTGTAACTGTACTTTTATAATGATCTCGCCATTTCTGATAAGCTGATTCTGATAAGCAGTTTATCATAAGCATCAAGGTTTAGGGTTAGGAGTGAGGAAATGCAATCAGACATAAGCTTCATACAAAAGTAATATTTACTGCAGCTTTATTATAAGGTATTTTGTTCATAATTCTTATGTCTTTATTACAGTGCATCTATGAATGCAACTACCAACTGGTCAGCTCCAGTTGTGTGGCATGGCACTTACAAAGAAGAAGTATTGGAAAATTATTATGCAAATCATAAAATTACNTTTTTTTTTCCTCTGACACCCCACCCTGAAAGAGTTAGGCGGGGAAGTGATGTAACTTTTCTACAGGAAAAAGCCCTTTGTATTTTGGAAAAGATTAATGAAGTTTATAAGATCTCTTGTATCAAGGCCAGAGCTTAGACCAGCTAACATCCTAAAACTTTGGGCAGATAGCTCAGATAAACAGTCTCTCTCCAGTGACTCAACTCAATTTTCATTTAAAGCAACACCCAAAGACCAGAGGTGCCTTAAATCCTAACTAAAATCTATTAATTAACTCATCTAGTTTAAGTTATAGAGAGATAAGATTCAACACAGCTTACACTGTATGCATTGTACTTATATTTAATCTATTTTTATCTGTTTCTTTTTTCTTCCAGTAAAGGATGAGATACAAAAGAATAACAATTCTATTGTTATTGTTTTTATTGTGTGTATGGGCCTTACAAAGAGAATATCAATTCAGGTAACTTTAAAAAATTAATGAATATTGTATTCTGGTGTTTGGTAAGGATCCGTTTATGTCAGAAAGGTTACAAGCTCAACCCCTGAATAAATCAGCATCCTACTGTATCAATCCAAATATACCTAAATATATCCAATGATATCTAAATATATCAGCATAAATATAGCCTTCAGCATAAAAATCCTTTGTTTTCAATGGAATCAAAGGTAAACATAATTTTTGTAGGCCTATATGTGTAAGAAGAAGTAGTGTTCAGCTGCCAAGACAGGTATTGTATAATTACAGCAATGTAAAGTCAGCAAATATTACAGAGAAACTACCATTTTTAAATAGGTGACATCTTCTTTAAGAAACATGTCTAATATTGGTGACTTTAGGCACTATATAAGGTATTTGCCCTCCACATATTTGAGATAAGCAGAAAGACCTCATCGGCAATTAGCAAATTTCATTGTTTTAATTATATTAAGTAAGCTTCTCTCATTTGTAGCTCAAAGAATTAGTTATTTTTTAAGATATAGCATGAGTAATTTTTATCAATCATTTGATATCATATCGCATGAGTGATGCTTATCAGTCAAATCACCTCAGTAATTTTATCATGTTCATTATTGTATTTCTACAACCAACCATGTACTTGGCACACAGTATGTACCTTAGTCTATTCAGGCTGAAAGAACAGAATGCCATACACTGGGTAGCTTATGAACAACAGAAATTTGTTTCTCACAGCTCTGGAGGCTGGCAAGTCCAAGATCACGGCACCAGCAGATAAAGTTCTGGTGAAGGCCTCTTCCTGGGTCACAGAAAACCATCCTCTCCCTGTGTCCTCACATGGTGGAAGGGGTGAGGGAGCTCTCTGGGGTCCCTTTTCTAAGGGCACTAACCCCATTCATGAGGGCTCCACCCTCATGGCCTAATCGCCTCCCAAAGGCCTCACCTCCTAACACCATCACACTGGGGGTTAGGATTTCCACATAGGAATCTGAGGGGAACACAACCATTCCATCCATAACGTTACGTGTTCATTAGAGATTTGGTAATATTAGGTACTACAATGAATGGATTGATGGAGTGTAACTTCAGTCATCTTAAATGTGAAAACCCCTCATATAAGTTTAAAAGTAATATAATGCTTTTTATTTTTCCTAAGCACAAAGAAACCACAGAGGCTATATCGGTGCTGGTAAGTCTTTATCCACACATATGCTATGACCTCTTTTTTGAGGATAAAACCAGTTGGAGGACAGGGGAGTACCTGTAAGTCCTTGGTTCCTGCAGGCAGGGTAAACCAAAGCAGTTTTACAAACACGTGTTGGAGATATTCGTTTCAGGTCAGAATACTAGGAGTCAAAGAAACAGCTGACTGGCCGAGTCCTGTCTCTGATAGAGGAGTGGCAACTGGTTAGGGGGACATGTTACAGGAGCCAGAAGCCAGCCTCCAGGAACCTGGGGGTCTTTTTCAAGCTCTGGGCAAATGCACAGGAATACAGTTTTGGCTAAAAGGCTCTCAGGGGATTGTATTAACCACCTGCCATCTGCAATATTATCTCATCAGCATATGTGCAGAAAGGAAAACTTCCTCCAAGATTGTGTAAGATCCACTATCATAATATGTTCTCCAATTTCTCCTGTAGTCATGAGATCCCCCAGTGAGTGAAAGGAACTTTCCCTTACGATGCTCCTTGTGTTCAGGGGCCTTTTCTCTCTGATGGTTCTGTGGTTTACAACACGCCCACTGATATCATGACTCCATACTTGGGTGAGCTGCGCTATGCATGAAAGTAATGTAGGAAGGTTTTCGTGTCCCGGGCAGAGTAAGTTTCCCCCATATATAGCCATGTATAACAGAGGGGCAGTAACTTTCAAGCACCTGAAAACAGCAGGGAAACCCCTAAGCAAAGATGGGAACATTCAAGAAAGCCTGCTGAAGTAGAAAGTGGAGAAGAAATGAATTCGAATGTTTTCTGGCAAAATGTATTCAATGTGATACAATCTAACAATCGTTCTATTATTAATATTAGCTCTCTTTAGCCTTATCATACTAATGCTCGTCATTCAAAGGCTTCACTGTCAATGGAAATGGGTGCTGGGTAGAATGCCACATCTCAGCCCCACCCCTGACGTTGCAGTCACTCTTATCTGTGTACGTAGGCACAAAGGCAGTCTTATGACATACGACTCAGCCCCATAGCTGCCCAGTCCCCTCGTTAACTCAGCCCAGGGTCAGCTCTCCAAAGGTGTCCTCGCCAGGGTGTCATTAGAGTGCATAGCAAGGAAGGAAAGGAAGGACTCAGGCACAACTGTTTGTCTTCCCACCTGCTCTGTGACTGTGGACAAGATAATAAAAACTCTCTGTGCCTTAGTTTCTTCATCTACAATAGTAAAATGGTGGTAATAAAAATAACAGTACCTATCTCACAGGGGTGGATTAAATGAGATAATACTTAGGAATGTACTCCATAGGTATCAGCTTTTTTTCGTTGTTTGGTAGTTCCTTTTATTGTTATTTTTTTCCATTATAGTTGGCATATTAGCTATTAATGAAAGGCATCTAACCTCACCTAGCAGATTAGGAAATACTTCCCTTAGGAAGGGATATTTAACATGAGACCCAAAGGCTACGTGGGAATTAGCAGGTTGAAGTTGTGGCGTGTTTAGGAAAACGAAAAAAAGGTCAGTGTGCCTGGAGAATTATAAGTGTGGGGTCAGGTAGGGATGTGGCTGGAACAGCGTGAAGGGTCGGATCATGCAGCATATTATGGCCATATAAGGAACGTGGATATGATCCTAGGACAACGGGAAACCACTGAACACTGTTAAACAGAATAGTGACATGACAACACTGGAGCTTCAGAAATATGATACTGGAAGCAGAATGGAAATATGGAGAATGGGGTGAAAACCAGCAATGCAAGGACAGGCAGAGAGGGTAACACATTGCTAATTGTGGGGCATGGGAATATGGAGGTTCATTATATTAGTCTCTTTACATTTGTGTACCTTTCAAAATTTTCATACTAAAAAGTCTTTTTTTTTTCTTTTAAGTGTACAGTGAGACCAGTTAGCAGGCTATTGCGTTAGCCCAGACAAGAGGTGATGGTGACTTGAAGTCATGTGGTGGCAGGGAATGGAGATAGGGGATGGATTCGAGAGATGTTTTGGAGGTAAAAACCAGCAGGGTTTAATGATAGACCTGATGCTGGGATTTAGGGAGCGCTCTGAGTGCAGACCGACTCTCATATTTCTGCCTTGCCAATCCAAGTGGATCCAAGGAGATAAGGCAACATATGAAGAGGACCTAGTTTGGGGAAGAGATGATGACTTTGACATCAAATATCCTCATTTTGTGATGTCTGCGCAAAATTCAGGTAGATAACTTCAGAACACAGTTGAATATATGAGCCTCACACTCCTGGGAGAAATCTAGTTGCATATAAAAACTCGAAGCCCAGAAGAGTGTCGATTGATCAAATAGGGGGCCTAGGAGA